TTTTTTTTGGTTAGCCGTTTTTAACTAGATACAAGTAAAAAAAAAATCCGCCAATCATTTCCAATTCTTTATTTCATTGTTATTTCATTAAACGCAGAAATTTTTTATGTCGAGCTGCAGCAAAATTAATTTATGCTAATATGCATGCTCGTTTATAAATTTCCACCTTTCCTTTTTCGGTTACAAGCTTGTCTTACGTTTGTTCAGGCTCCTTAAGAAGTCATTGGATTACAGCATTAAGAAAAAATTTTTATTTTTCGGTATTGAACTAGAAAACCGAAAATAAAAAAAATAAAAGGAAAAGAACCGAAAGAATAAAAAAATATTAAAAAATTTCAGAAAAAATTCGAGTCTAGTATAAGAACGTAAAAAAAAAGGTATTCAAAAAAATTTAAAAAATCAATTTATTTAGCAAACGTGATCTGCTGCGGCTGATCGCGTGGCCGAAAATGAAATATGATTAAAAAGAAAATTAAACTTCTTCGTTAGCATTATATTGCAGTTTCAAGTTCGTCAATATTTATATGCTGGGTGACAGTACATATATTGATATACATTTAAGAATAATATATTCATTAGTTTGATTATTATATATTATTAATTTTTTAATTTCATTATAAACATAAATACATATAATATAATTTATAAATATTAAATACTTTCATTACCGGTAAATAAGATAAAAGCATGTGATTAAAATCCATCTAAAGATAAAAAATAAAAAATTATAAATTAATTATTTACTTTATAAAGAAATTTATTTTTTTAAGAACTTACCATCAGGAATTTCCAGTTCATCTTGTTCTTTTGAATGAAGATTTGGATTATTATATACTTCGTCATCATCTGTAAGAGATACTGTAAGATAGAATTAAAATAATATTAAAAATTGTTAATTGTTTATTATTATGTAAAATTTTCACCTACCATCAACATGTTGTTGAGTTATTTCTTTTTCATCATCTAAATTTTAAATAAAAGTCGCGTTTAATAAATGAAATTGGTATGGCAATTTTATTTGTTAGTAATTTACTTACCATTTGAATTTATTTGCAACTTTTTAAATAATTTAGATAATTTTTTACGACTATCTAAAAATTAAGATATAGATTTAATATATAGATCAATCTCTATTTGATAATAATTAAAATATATTACCTCTAAAAATAGTAATTACTTTTGATGATTTGTTACTATTCTGCTCATTTGATTTATTAAAATCGTCAACTAAAATAAAAAAATCAATTATTAAATATCATTATACGATAATTAAACACTGTGATGTTAATAAATAC